ATGGTTTTAGAATGTCTCGTATTTATAAATACAACAGTATGCTCTTATTGTATCCCGTTAATTGCATTTGACCCTGAATAACATCAAACGAGACACTTGTCACCTTGTCCATTCAACAAAAAGCTTTTAAAGTATTTAAGTGTTTTGTATTTTTCCTATTTTTTGCCTGTATGTCTATTTTGATCTGGGCTTCCTCACCACTTTCTCCACACACTGAAGAGGTCACTCTTTTTCCACTTAAAATGTATCAATTAAAATTTTCAAACATATTTACAAGAACATAAGAAAGAAGACAGCAGCATGAATCAGATTATCCCTCTCCCTTTTCCCTCCTGTACCGTAAAGTCAATATGGTCAATTATTGTAATATTTTAAATAATACTTTATCTGACCAAGATATACCATATGGGAGAATGTTGGTGATCAAACAATGATAAAAATGCTTGTCTTCTGGAATGTTCTAAAGCATATAATTAAACATAGCCACAACGGAGACAGACAGGAGACAAGTTCTAGAAATGAGACTTTATTGTGACTGTCTCTTGTTCTTTCGGGAAAACTGAACAGTCAACACAATGAGCCATGATGTGTGATATGAAGTGTCTGTTGTGTTGCCTTTTTTTGAATATACATCACACTGTCCTTCTTTCGGCTCTTAAGTCCACTCTCTGTCATCTGCTATTGTCAGCCAACCAAAGTGGATTAAGGTAAAAGATGATGCCCTTCAGAGTTCAATACCCAATGCATCCATCGCAATGAGAAGGATTTTAAGATAACATTGTTGTATTTTGTTAATTTGACACAATGGACTTATGCTATGTCATAATCATTGCATTCAGATAACAGCCAGACTGTTATCTGAATGCATTGGTCTCAAATTTACTCTACATCTAAATTACTTAAAGAGTCGATAGTATTGATAGTGTTAAGAGTTAAAACGGCAGGCAAAATAAGGGACTTGTATCGCAGGTTATAACAATCCAAGAGTCACCATCTCTTATAATAAATGCATCTTTGATCAGTGGGGATCCAGAACGATTGTAACTATTTTTATAGCTTGTAATTAGCCGCATTCTAGGGCTATATTTAGTCTAGGGAGAAAGCAAGTGCGCATGGTCCTATTGTATCCCGTTAGGATTAATTTGTTAGCTAGCCTTCTGGGGACAACCATCAGACAGTTCCCAGTTGTGTAAGTGACAGGTGGCACTGGATTAAGACAGAGCTGACACATGATGAAAGAAGGAGGGTAGCTTTATCTAAGAGTATGTCTTTGATCCTGAAGTAGGTCTGTGGATCTGTATGGGGACGCTGTTTGTGGCTTTTATTGAGTGATGCGTGTTTACAGAAGGCGTCGGCAGTTTCAAGGTTGATCCTTTCATTAAAATGTTTTCATATCAATACTGTGGAATTTGAAGCAACATATCGATTGAAATTAATCTATTTATAATCACAGTTTTATTGTAAGCTTTCCTTTCTGTAGAATGAAAGTTAAACATAATGAAAATCCAAGTAACTAGTTCTTTGCAAATCTATATGGTTGTATAGTTTTTGTGTGTATTTTATTTTCTTTTTGGTCTCTGTTGCAACTTTAGATCAGGTTTTTCAGTGAAAAAGGAGAGAAGCAGCTAATTCTCAAAAAATCTCTGTTGTGGTTAGATTTGTTCACAACACATAAAATATATGCACCTTGTGAAAATAACAGCATTTAAATACATTAAAGAAGCGTGTCCCTAATATTTAAAGCTAATTTATTGTTGTTTATGTGCTGTTTTTCTCTAACCATGTCTTTGATAGTGATTTTTTTTTGTGCAGCAGCAGCTAACCTCAGAAGTGGCCCATGTTTATTGGGTCCACTCTGCAGGAGCTCATTTGTCCATGCGACTTCCTCAGAGGGAAAAGTTTGAAGCCCACCTCTGATCCATCTAATTAAATGAAAACTCAGTGAGCTCCACACAGTCAGACAGCCCAGCATAGCCACACACACACACACAAAACATGCGCACACACACACACACACACACACACACACAACATACCCACACAGAACACACACACACATATACATATATAAAGGTATGACTGATGCGAATCTCCATGGGGGACTAGACACACCGAGCCCCTGCACCATGTCCTTTGGCGCAGTGCTATCTCAAAGTGTGCTGACACGCAACACGCCACAGATCATGGGCATAAATAAGCAGGGGAATGTTTTACCTGAAAAGAGGAGCATTAATTCAAAGGCATCACGCTAGTACAGGAAGAATGTTGCCTCATTAGTGTTACCCCACTGCTTTCTACAGCAGCTGCAATGGTGTGAGAGAGAGAATGTGCCAGTCAAGATCTTCCGTTTGCCTCTGTGACTAAAAAGTGCACATTATTCTGCTTCTATTGTGGCACACGATGAGTTGAACAAAGATACTTGAAAACCAGCGGGCTCTGAGTCGTCACATCCCTGACAAATGTGCTGCCAAAAATTATATCTTCACAATGAGTGTCTCCAGCAGGAAATTTAGAAATATTGTAGACCCAAGCCACCCAAACGATTGACTTTTTTTTATTATTTTTTTGCCTTGCTCTTTAGCCAAAGTCAAAAGAATGGAGTTTTGGATGAAAAGGAGAAGAGGTGAAGAGACAAGGACATATGTTGTTAGGAGGACGCCCTTGTGATTGACAGATTGGTGCATAGGCTGCGTTCACAAACACATGCCATCACAAGCGGTTCTCCCAGAAATCTGTCTATCACCGCTGTCTAAGCTGAGCGACAGCCATGACATCTAATCACAGGCGCACTGGCACCTCATAACTTCTGCCTAATGCGCTGCAGGTACAGGAGGAGGTAGGGGCGCACACAGACATCCACTATTTATAGCTCGTTCAGGGGCCACCGGCAGGAAGTAGATCACACCGAGGGGTTAGGGAAGATGTCACTACACTGTATCAGCGGTGTTTAGATAGGTCTCCGTTGACAAGATTAAGCACCTCTGCGTCCGGGTATCAAGGGGAGATGTTTTCTAGGTTGCACTGGGCTTTTCCTGACAAGTAACATCAAATGGGGGCAGATATAGTGCATATACAAGATGATAATGAGCTATTTACATAATGTTGCTACAACGCCATAATTACCTGGCAATTAAAGCAGCTCAAAAGCCTCATTACAGGCTGTCCTAAGGGCTTCTTGGACTGGGACGTGTGATCAAGCTCGATATCCACTTTTAGATCAGCCACATGAGTTTTTGGCAATTTATGTCTATATTTTATCGCATAGGCACAATTATTATTGTTAAATATTTTGTCATGTTTCTTGAAGCATCTCTGTAATTTTTTTTCAATATAACCTAACAACTGTGATTCTTTCAAAATAAAACTCTACAGGGTCATATGGTCAAACATATGTCTTCCTATAAAAAAATTAAATACAATTGAAGTTGCACCGTCGATCCACTGCACTGCTCCAGATGTTCACAGAATAGCCTCAAAATGTTTTGTATATATATATTATATATATAGTATATCATCCCTAAAACTTCTAATGGTACTTTATAACATATAAAGGTAGTTTGTGTTGCATGCCTCTGGACCCTGTTAAAAATGTGTTTGCTATCAGATACGAGGTGTCACCTATACTTTTTGTCCCGAGGGAATCGCTGACACATGGAAAATGCACAAAGAGTACACAAGGACACGTGTCATACCTTACACCCTTATTACGCCAGTAACGACAAGTCAGACAAGCAGTCACTTTCCTAGTCTGCAGAGAGACCCGCATTGCTCTGAGTTACAATAGTCGGAAGAAACCCGAAAGACTGTCTGAATGTCAATATAATAGAAAAAGGCTTGTGAGAAATAAAACTGCGCTGAAGGAGGCGGAAATGTATGTGCGCGGATATGTGCGTGTGGTGTTGTTTATGAATAGCACTCAATGAATGATGGGAGCTCTCTGGAGGGTAACAGGCCCCTGAGCGCTGCTGTGGGGACTTGGGAACATGCCAGTCTCCCATGCCCCGTGAGGAGATGCCAGTTCGGGTGGGCACCGTTCCGAATGGGTGCTCTTTCTTCCCTTCCAGGAGCTACGTGGCGGCTCCCGGGGGAGAGTCTCCAGGCAGTGGCTGCACCAGAACGGACCTGGGCTGGAATCTCAATCAGGGACAAGCATTAAAAAACCCAAAAGTCAACACACCACGGCACCCCAGCACACACACACACACACACACACACAGTATATTACCGCCTCTGTGCCTCTATGTTATAATATCGCACTCAGGGAAATTGAGAAAAAGACCTCATTATGTCTGGGCCTGTGTACACCTGCTGTAAAAATGGAAGAAATTACCACTTGATGATGTCTTTTGTATTTGTCTTAATTACTCAGAAATTGCATATGGCGCGTAATGAATTTGAACGTGCACATTATTGCGGTGTATTTCTTAACGTAGGAATATGGCTGTGTCTCTGCATTCTGTCTTCTCACAAGCTGTCTTTTTTCTTCTCTTTTTTCTGCCCTGTTCCTGTCCATGTCTGCGCTGCTACAGGAGCTGCTGAATTCGTGACAGGTATGCCGCTTCATTTCTCTTCCCTCTCCTACCTGCTGTTCATTTGGAAGTGCTGGTTTCTGTCTGTTTCTGTTGATTTGCTGTCCGTCCAACTGCTGTTCATCTGTGCGTATTTACATGAAATACGCCGCCTGTGTGTTGCAACTCCGCTGTAGGAAGATGCCGGTGTCTATCTACACACAAGCAGTTGTTCTTTGTTAGTTATAAAACAACTATTTGTGGGTATTGCCTGCTGTTCACAACTCTCATGTGTGAGAATGCATCCCTTCAATGTCGACGCTTGACACCTCATCATAGTGTGGCTTTGTCTTCATTAATGTTGTCTGTTTTGTTACTAATTTGGTTACTAATTAACAATTACATGTTCTAGTAATAATCATTGCACACGTCACACGGCTTCCATTTGATTTACTTTTGTTTTTCATAAAGTGTTTCTTTTGTTTTCCATACATAACAATATTGACCATATTCTAGAACTGTTTGTTTTTCTATTGCGATTGTCTCTGTCCGTCTGTTTGTCTGTAGGCAGGATTTCACAAACACTACTGGACAGATTGAACTGAAATGTGGTGTGTAGACTTTGTCATCATAACTTGCAGCAAACTCCAACACACTGAGCAGGGAGGGATGTACAACCTCGGCCTTGGAGGGAAATGCACTCTACAAGTTCCTCAAAATTCGTTTTCTGTTACATTGAATGAATGAAGACTTTATTCCGGACTCAGAGTTCAACAAAGAAACTAAAAAGACAGAACATACAGCATACTTTCACCAGACTGATTTAGACATAAGTATCATAGTTCTCTGCTGCTTCATCAATAATACACATTTAATTTAGGTTTTATCTTTTATAGGTGCCATATTTGTAGACAGCATTTCATTATACATTGTACATGCATCATACATGTACATTCAGGGAAATTACTTTTTTATCTCTTTGAAATCCATACATACATTTTATTATGACCTAATTTGTACCACACAAAATCCCATTCAATGAATTGTCTTACTTTGTTTGAAAGTAAGGAGTTTGAATGCAGTTATCCAGTAAATCAGCAGATATGTTTTCAGATCAAAAATTCACCTTCTCTCTGACCAGTGTGTGTAAACGGGGCCCTCAAATGTGTAAGATTCTGTATATTTCAAGAGGTTAGGATGAAGTGCTCACTGTATCTTGAAGAGTTCAGCAGATAGTCCAGCAGGTGCTCTCTGAGGCTGAGACCAAACAGGCTTCTTTTTTTACCATTTTTTTCTCCTTATAGAAACCATATAGTTTCCTAAACCACAAGGTGGGCAAACATTGTTGAAATTTGTATTTATTTTTCTCCAAGAAATGTTCACACTCCAATGATAGAAGGTCTTTAAGTCTATTGTTATCTTTGATACAATCTCCTATTGTAAAATGAATAAGAACTGAGTACTAGTTGGCACAATCCATTTTCCGAAATGTTAAAAGCCATTAATTTCAAGGTAAGTCAAGTTCTCTATAATTTTTTTTATCTGTCATTGAATCTTCACACACAATGTGGACAATAACAATGCAGCACAAAATGAGATGTGTTAACCTTTTCAAAGTAGGCTAATTAGAAAGCTAATGTGTGTTTCTAGCTATATTCGAAATATTTTTTTACCTACTTATGGTGAGAACAGAAAGCTTTCTTTGATTTGATCGTCTTATTTTCTTGTTGTAATGTAGGCCCCATTATTACACAAACAGTTGCACTGATTTTCTATGATTGCATGTCTTTGAAGAATAGCAAAATTGTCAAATTAGTGGGTATGAAATTTGTGAAACCTTCCCCACGTCAAGGTTCTGAAAGAAATGGTAGCGCACTACAGTAATTATACCCCTGGACTGGAGCCTTCTTATGTTCCAACGTCCTTTAAAAGCATTTCATCATGAGGATCAGGGTTTAACGACTGAGCAGCATAAAGATGTGTTACGCCAAAAAAGCAGCATCAGAGAGCGGCAGCTGCGGAAACTTTTATTGTTAACGACTGACAGTAGATGTTCCTTGAAAGGACACGGCCACTGCAGACAGGGGTAACTCCGAGGAGGTATCACGGCACTGATGTCCTGCTTTCACTCGTCTCTTTCATGTCTTTTGATGCAAAAATAAGAAAGAGAAAAGTTCAAAGATGGCCAAGTCCACTGGAGGAAAGCACCCCAAGTATTCAAGGCAGACAAATTATATCCAATGAATTTCTGCAAGTTTTTGGGTCCAAATTGGTCAGGTTGGCTGGCTGTGTTTTGCATGTGATGAGGAGCAGATTGAACATCCCCTCAGAGAGCATCCAGACTTCTGAGGACCCAGCTCTTTCATTCATATGTTGTGATGGTGACACATGGGGAAAGGGGGGCACTTTGCACTTCCAGACAGCTGCTGGACTGAGTGAGGATTTATCAGCCAGTCATCTGTACCATTCCTCGCTCGCCGCTCCTCTGCCTCACCACAACACCCACCCCCATCTAACGCCCAGAATTAATGACTGCCTCTCCTCATTTGCACCCAATCATGACCGGGATGCTGAGGCAATTGAAAATGTTTACTCCAATTGCAAAAACCCTCCATGTTGCACAAAGTGGCTTGTTTTCTCTTTGATGGGATTGCTAATCACAGCGACGTTATTTATGTGTGTTTTGAGTTGGAGATGAGCCTAGGCCTGGGATTTTGGAGGCCTACCAACCTTGCTTGGGGCTGCGAAACCTTATGGAGAATTTATCTTTTTGCATTCCCTTTTCTCACAGTCCAACCGATTGTTAGCAGAATAACCTTGCTTTGAGGCTGCTCTTGCTACTGTGACTGCCAAATATTTTACTTTTACAGCAATGAAATAAGGAAAGACATCAAAACGCTTGACAATGCTATTGCTTTATTACAAATTGCCTGCTTTACAAGATAATCATTCTCTATTTAAGTCTCACACCCGCGGCTCTTAATTTCAAAATGATATAGATTTGAGCCGATCAAAGATACACCTGTATTCAATTTGTATATAATTCAATCTACAGTGGATACTACTCATATATAAATAATGCCTATATAGCATTTTCATCATGTGTGTGGCCCCTCTCATTAGTCAATGCCAGACACAAGCCAAGAAGATAATAAGTTTGACCCCTAGGTGCCATTAAGCGTGAGGAGGTGAGGCCTAAATGATACGAGTCCATCACTGTCAAAGCCACAGCGGTGAGAGTGTTTGTCTTTCAAGCATTCACTGAGCGATGAAGGTGCCAAACAAGGGCATGTGTGGCCTAGTTTTTGTAAGCACTGCTGGTCTACAGGTGTGCAGGTGCTTCGTTTCTCTTCAGCAAGCCACCTACACTAAGAAGAAATATTGCAATTAGTAGCACCCCTATATATACACCATAAATAGTCCATGAATGTCCTTAAATGTCCTGGATCATCCCAAATCCACAAAGAAACAAAGAACAACTCAAAATCCCAGTGGGAAAAAGTGAGCTCCCCACATTGAGAGAGGGACCCGCTCCCATGGACGGACAGGCTGTGAAGGACTCTGGCTGTATAGGACAAAGACTGAGACTGCGCGGTGCAGTACTGAAGAGGCTCCCAGGGAGGAGTGGGGTGCAGCCCACGGGTCTGGATGAGTTCATGGGTGTAGGTTCAGGGGTCCCATAATGGCGCCATGAAACATACAATGGGAGAACGGGTGAATTGCAATGAACAGACTACAACTGAAGTCATGAGGATGTCAGATAATGTAGGAGAGAGGAGAATAGACCTGAAGTGACTTTACCATACTTTTCGCAGCAAAGTGCGATCATATGCAGCTTGACTAACGATCTGTGTTTTTGCACTTTGGTTATATTTCTGAGTCTTACTTAAACATATACTGATGTAAAGAGAAATGTTTTAAGTTTGAATGTAGAGATTGTGTCTGCTTCCTTCCATTAAACTAATTTTAAAACAATCACAGTTCATTAAAAAGTGAAGGATTGTATCCTTCACAGTTAATTAGCAATCTTACTAAAGCCATGACAACCTTACTCAGTAGTATTCTGTCATTCCATATGTTTGCTTTTCCAGATCATCCTGATGGAGCTGAAAGCCTCGCTGTCATACTTTCACTTCAAGATTGCTACATCCAGCATTTGTGTTTTGCCTTGAGTCTCCTGTCGGTTTCTGTACTACTTAACTTTGCGTATTGGACAATTTTCCTGGTTCCTGGATGTTTTCCTAAGATCCATTCTCCCTAAGATGTTTGGTTGCACCAGTACCTTTGAAGGAAACAATATGACGACAGGTTTTGCCTATTGGATATCCAGCTTTACAGTATCCTTATAATGTCAGTAATCTACTGAAGATATGGATGGCTTTGTGGATGGATGCAGCTTTAGTAGCACGTTCGTACTGCCTTTGACGATAGAAATGGAGTTGATAATGCACAGAACATAGACAAAGGAATATAGACTTGTAACACAAACGTAGACATTAAAAATGTCCTTTGCCAAAACATTTTACATCACTGATTATTAAATCTATCTTTGACTTCTCTGAAAATTACTCAAGATCCTCCCATTCTCCCCTTCTAACTCTCAAAGGAGGAATGTTATGCATGATTTTGGAAATTAGAAATTATATATTGACTATTTTTAACTTAGTTTACAAATTTAGTTTTATAAGGTTGAAAACTGTCATAATGTCATAGAGATACAATGACATCAGAATGAAGCTTCTTTATATTGTCATTGTAAGTACCAGGAAGTCACAAACTAAAAATGTGCTTTGACTCAAGCTACAAACAGGTCATACATAGAGGCATGCATAGAAAATTGTGACAAAAGTTATTAAAATGATCACTATATACAAGTGCACACTAAGAAAACACAATTTAACAGTGCAGTAAAGCAGAATCCTACTATTACACTAATTTAGGACTGAGACAGGAGCAGTTCATCAGAAGGGGCGGAGTTAGATTTTTGAAGTCTTTGATATTAGCGCGGATGTATCTAAACAACTGATGAGTGAACTACATGGTTAGAAGCGAATGTGTATTTTCATGATATGTTCCCGTTACACCACTCCTCTCCTGCCTTGTGTTTCAGCCGATGAACTTTTTCTTGTGTCCGGAGCCCAATCCTGTGTTAAATGAAAGGGGTAGTAGTTCATGGCGTCAATTGTAAGTGGGAAACAGATCCGCACAGCAGCAGTAGTAGCTCCAAATGTTTTTGTATTAACACTGCATGTGATGTTTCGAAGCTCTCCGTCTACACCAGTTCATTGCATCAGACAGGTCTTATAGGAGCCTTTCTCAGCAGGAGGTTAATTTCTTATTGCTTTCAAGATTCAGAGAGTTCATTCTGAATCAAGCTAGTTTGCTGTCTCTTCCCATTATCCCTATCTGAAAATGTGTGTGGTTGTTTTCCCCCACTTTGTAAATGTCAGAATGCAATAGAGGTGTCTGACAACTCAGGCATGCAAATGGGCTTTTGATGTATTCTTGGGGCTGTGGCTGAGTGTTGTTCCTCTGCTGGTGTGAATTTGTAGTATTAAAATTAGTTTTTTTTCTTTGTCCTGCCAGATAAATATAGCACAGGGTGACTTCTGAGTCCCTTCCTGTTCAGAGTGAAGGAGGGGAAACAAAGCCACTTTTTTTTTTTGGTGCTGGGGTTTGCTGTAAGGTGTAAGTTATGATGACAAGGTCCAATGTCTGTTGCAACAATGGCCGTGTACAAAGAGCGCTATAGAGCAGTTTTATTTCTGGAGCCGCCACACTAGAAGCGGCGACACACTGGGCACACAGTGGTCACATGGAACCTCAGATGGAGGCTCTGATAAAGATTAACCAAAAACAGCACCAGCATGTCCCCTCTTTTGCACCTCCCTGTCCAGATCCACTGCTACGCACTTTCTTACACTCTCTCTTTGTATCCGTTTTGTCCTTTGCTTTATTCTTACCTTCGTGGGCAGCCGAGCTTACAGCCCATCTGGCACTGACTCACAGGGCCCACTCCAAGCTTGGGGAGATCAATAGTGACAAACACTGCACATGGCTCTTGTAATAAAAGGATTAGATTCAGAGGCAAACAATGCACAGAGTGAATTCACGCATCCTTTCAGCGTGAATATGTGATGTGGCTTATTGTTCATCAAGCTGTACGACGGAGACAACACCTCCATGTGTCATTTTCTGGTGTGTTTGTGTGTTTCAAGTGGACGGTCAAAACCTGGCTACCGACAATGTGACTGTGATCGAAGGAGAAATGGCCACCATCAGCTGCAGAGTCCGAGACAATGATGACTCAGTGATCCAGCTCCTGAACCCCAACAGACAGACCATCTACTTCAAAGACTACAGACGTGAGTGGCCTGGTCCCCGACATCATTAAAAGTGCATCACTCCATGTTCTGCAGGGTGTGGTTTAGGGCAGCAGGATTAATCGCAATTCCCTTCATGTCCCTAGACGAAAAAAGAATCTTAAATTAAGAAAAAATACTTTAAGATAGTATAATTTGACTAAATTAATATTGGAAGCAGTGTCTTATTATTGTAACAGTTTTTAACTCTGTGTGCAGCTCTACAGACATACATATACATATACTCACAAATGTGTGTCTAAGTGAATTGAGAAAACAGTGATGTTGTATTTTATGGCTCAATCCAAAAAGGATTTACTGACTGCATTAACAGAGATTTGAAACCTGGCTCGGGCACATACTATCTGTGTTAATTATTTCAAAATACTGATTCAGTGAAAGGTTTCCTTTTTATTAAGTAGAATTTTGGTCAATTTGGTAAATCTTTGCATTCAATTGTCCGTGCAAACTTAATACCTTATGTCCTTGACTCGTTTGGCTCATTTTCACAAGTCATTAAGCTCAGAAAACGTTGAGATTAATATGAGATACTACACAATGCCTCTGTAATTGGAGCAGCTTGGCGTCCTTGTCACTGTTCGATTTTACGATAATCTGGTAGATTAGGATATTGAACATTATGCTTATGCATGAGCATATGTGCTACTTCAAGTATCTTGAGTTTCCTTTTTGCTTCTTTACTTGTTTGTGAATGGGACAGATGCCAAGACTCAAGGTGAATGAGGACCTTCCTTATTTCCGTCTCGATCACATCCCAGCTGTTCCACACTTCTACAGCCGGTGACGTCTTCTTTGCTTCCACTTTGGAAAGCAAAAGATTTTACAAAGAAATTAAATGAGAATAGAAGTGAGGAATACAGGTTTAAGTGACGCCGCTGCACATGTTTTGGAGGAGAGGGGATGATTTAAATGAAACACAACAGTGAATAATTAAGTCTGACATCCTTGGAGCAATCAATATCAGCCTTTTTAAGACCGCATCTGTAATTCAGCCTTTTATTTGCAGTGAGTCGCTCCATATGCGTTTTAAAATAGGCTGTGTCATTTTGCTCTGCTTTAATCAATGAAGTGCTACTGCCAATTACCAACACAAAAGCTTTTGTTTATCTACAATTAGATCCGTCTTTATGGCAGCTTGTTGACAGCAGCAGTAGTGTTGTTTGACTCCGGCTCCTGTGTTGTCCTGAGGGGGGGTCCGACTGCTATTCTGGGCCGTGTTCCTGGAGGACTCATGCCGGTGCGGTACCCCCCTCCGCCAGTGGCATTGTTAGCTGTCAACACGGCCGCTCCACGCAGTGGGCCACATCTTTATGTACAAGGAAGTAAATAGCAGCTACACCTGAATGCGAGCACGAACAAGAACAGATCCTCATTCACACACAAATGACTGGTGCAAACAGCTTCATGACACAAACGTCATGCTCCAAATAGAGCTGCACTGCATGTGGAGTACACTGCCTCATTGCCAGGAGACATTTACTGAATGGGAACATACAATGAGACTTGCATTTTAGATGTTAGATAAATGTACTTACAAATATTCATTATGGCAGGAAGGCTAATAAAACATTATTTTGTTTTTCAAAACATATTAAGATTCAAATGCTCAAAACACATAGGAGCTCCATGATTGTCCGTGAGATTGGCATGACCAATGTCTATAAATGTTAATAAATGTTCCCTATTCCAAGCATTATGTCTTTACATTGGCTTTTTTGTTTGTTTTGCCGTGTACCATGGGGATCCAAACAATACTAATTTACTGTAGTTAATGTGTCAGGGGCAGAATTCGGAAAGCAGAATATGCCAGGCATGAACATGCATGGGTGGCATGAGTAGTGTCTGCATAGATTTCTTCCAGATGCTTCGATTTTCCGGTAAAAACATGTACATCAGGATGGTTATTGGATGGTGATGACCGGAGGCTTCAATGCATCACTGTGTTTGGCGTCTCGCTTCAGTGCTGTGTGTGAAGTGAATGGAAAATATCAGTTCATCCAAATCAGTGCTTTGAGTGACCTTGGTCTGTGCCTGTATAAATAAAGATTACTTACCTTCGTACGTCCCACTCCACATCAAAACATATACTATGGCGATAGCGAGACCTTTATACTGCACAAAACCAGGACTAAACTGGTCTGAAACACAATTATGAGGCTTATCCCGAGAATGAAGTAGAAGCAAGATAAATTGTAAAATATTTTGGTTGACTGCTATCAAGTTGCACAAAGCTGCTACATGTGTTCTCCTATTCTGGTGTTATTGGTGTTATTCCAGGTCGTTTTACCATTTGTCTTGTAGATCCCCATACTTGCTTGTCTGTTATCTGTTAGTTGAAAGTGTTCACAGACTGGCCGTGCCGGGTGTGGTGTGGTTGGTGTTATCTGCCAAACGAGTTGGTGAAAAGTTGTTGAATTAAACTGTGGTCTTTATGCAACGTGCCAAGGTCAGCCAACTGTGAGTGGTCAGCGAAACAAAAGCCCAGTGTTGGCTCACAACTCTTTGTCTGTTCAACATGTGTTAGCCACAGACTGCGACGTGGGCTCACAGGCTGCACACGTTTGTCTTTGCTCTACTTTCAACTTTCACTCAATAAAAGTAATGAACTTGTGTTTGAATGTTGGGTAAAAGTCAGAAAATTATCAAATGTTTTGAAAGTTTGTTCCTTCATGTTGTTCCTAAAAAAACTGACGACAATATATGATTTACTGTACACGCATACATGCAAAGAGACATAGCTAAATCTCTGTTTTTTATTGTTTTGATGATTACAGGAAAATATTTTATTCAATGACATATTTTATTTGTTTTTACAAGCCGTGAGCCATTTATTACCATAACACATTTATGTAAGTATTTAGCTTGATAATTCTCACATTGTGTATCTAAGGCTATCATATATTAAGAAAGGAGAAAAAAATTGGAGGCACTCTTGACAATAAAATAAATCTAAAATCCTATAGTGAACATGGATTTTGCAACATGTTTCGGCCACCCGGGGCCTTCTTCAGGGCATTCCAGTGTTTCCAGTGTTTTTGCCACTGCTGATCCTGATGAACACCTGACAAAGTTAGACCCACTGCAGAATTCATCTCTATTGAACTTCAATCATATATAATTTTCATATTGTAAATCGTCATACAGATGTCTTTTGAACGACAGTATAGATTTAGGAGTTTCACCTGCATATTTTGGATTTTTAAAAATTTAAAGAGGAAGAGGTTCTTTATTTGTCCCACTGTGGGAAATCTCAGTATTTCATAACCAGTTACAGAACAGCAGGAATGAGGAGCACACAATAATCTATACTAAAGTTAAAAAAAAATCTCTAATTTTTGCATAAAACAATCACAAAGTACAGCTACCTACACCAACTACCAACAGCATATCTCCCTTTTTTATGGAGATTAGGATGCAGCCTGTTCAGTTTCCTAATTACTGTTGCGCACTAATTGCTCCTGCCATCACCACAGGTTTGGTTGATCTGCACGTCCCTTTGGCCTCTTTCAAATGCAGACGCTGGGAATAAGGTTCATGCTGACGTAGCTTTTATGACCTGTTGAAGTGATGAAGTCCAGAGCCTGATGGCAACATATCTCGCTGCTCTTTAGAAACCTGACTGAGTTTTTCTGCAAAAAGCCAGAGGAGGACTTGATGAAATGTCAGGTCAAAACATCAAAAAAAGAAATCTAACCGGCCGAAGCTGTTTATGTAAAAGAACGCTCAAGGAAAGGGCTGACCCAAATCAGAAGTCAGACAGACATCTAACCCACTTTGACAACATTAAAGAAAATACCATCCACCAGTGTTGAGACGGTCTTAGTTAGAGCCTGGCCCTCTCCGCGCTCTGATTTAAATCATTATGTATGTTTGAAGGCCTCCTCTTTTTGTGGAATATGTTCGCTTGTTGCAGCCATCCATGACCAGCTGCAGCCCATTTTAAGTTCCTGGACTTTCGTAGCTTGTTAGGAGTCCTCATGAGCACTCTTCACACTTTCCTGTGAGTGCTCTGTGGACTGTAAAGCTACTTTATAAATCAACTTGTATGAATCATTTTGAGACTCACTTTTCTTTTACTCAATTAAGAAGAAGGCACACAAAAGGGCAGCACTCTTCTAGTCTCCCTGAGCTCATTTTTTCGATGCTGTATTTTTTCCCGTAGCGCTCACCTCTCGTGTCAGGCGTCTGGCAGTGTCTCTTGTCCATGTCCCTTGTTGGCCTCACTGTCTCTGCCTGTATGCCCACAGCTCTGAAGGACGCCCGGTTCCAGCTGGTGAATTTCTCTGACAACGAGCTGCGGGTGTCTCTGTCCAATGTGTCACTCTCCGATGAGGGCCGCTATGTGTGCCAGCTCTACACAGATCCTCCTCAGGAAGCCTACGCAGACATCACTGTCTTGGGTAGGTGCAAGGTTGCTGGTGGAAGTGCAAGCTGCAGTGTCTCCTACACACATTGTTCCCCTCACTCAGAAATACGGTGAATATGGGGAATACTGTAGATATCGTTGATTTGTCTTTTACAAGTGAAACAAAGCGTCTGCCAATTAGATCCTTGTGACACTCGACGGTAAAGTCAGTGAGAAATGGAGCAGATGCTGAAACGGATGGCTCCGCCCGTATCGGTTCTGGCAGCTGTGTTGACTCTGTGAATCCCGGTGAATGTTGACTTGGCTGCTTCAAATGAGTCCCCATTGAGAGTCAGCTGTGGTACACTTTGATGCTTTGCAATAAAATGACTCTAGTTAAGCTTTATTATACATGCAGACATCCTGGGGGATTGAACAGAATTAAAAGCACTTTAAATAATTGCTGGAGATGTACAATTGAAACATAGCTGCAGTATTTCTGAATCAAGGGTTGCCATGAAGAGCCCTTGAAATGTACACCCTGCTGACTTTTCACAGAGAGTGGGAAATGTAGACTGTTATGCAGCAAGAGTCATATAGGAGCGAGGAGGGATCACTCTGTCTCGGGTGCCCAGTTATTGATTTGTACTTGTCAAAGTTTGTAGATTGCCATTTCCTATTAAATCATGTATTGTTATTGAATTATTTATATGGAATGATGGCTAGTCTCTATGGGACATGTGTCATGAGACATGACATATGGTCATCAGTATATTTCTGACAGTTTTTGCCTTTTCTGTGGGGCAGTTCCGCCGGGCAGCCCAATCATCGAGAGCCAGGAGGAACTGGTGAGTGAGGGCAACGAGACGGAGCTCACCTGCACGGCCATCGGCAGTAAGCCAGCTGCCTCTATCCGATGGATGAAAGGGGAGGAAGAACTGACAGGTCAGTGCAATAACAGCCTTTTGCAGTTTGCCTCACATGCTCTCGCTCTGTCCACTTCGTTCTTTCTCCCTCTCTACAAGCCCACTTTCCTGTGTGGACAAAAAGAGTTCCCTACTTTCTATACATGTTGTACCATTACATTGAGTGACAGTTCAGAACACAGCCAAATGATGAAATGCATCTAGATATTGAAGGCGAATTGCCCTTTATCTGAATGCCACAATTTTACCATGATTTTTTTTTTTATAATTTGACATTTGATCAAACCAGGGACATTATCAGCTTTCTACATGGTCGGCTAATCCACAAGGAAGCATTATAATTAATTGAGGATAACTTCACTATATATTTATAGTGGCCATTTTAAGTGCTGTTACACTCTGTTTATGGATAGCATTTGAACAGAGGGCTTGTCGAGAGATGAAATATTTAGACAAGACTGAACGCGAAGCTAAATGCCATCTGTGCCTCCAGTGCTCCCCGCAGGAGTCAAAGTCGATTTGTGTTGGGAAGTTGTTGATCGTTGTGTAAGGGAGAGTGAGACAACAGGACGGTGGGATCAGCAAAATGCCACTGACACGCTGAGAGGGCTAATCCATAATGGCACTGGCCACATAAAAGCTGGCCGCAGTGTCGTGGCCCCCCGTACCCCGGAAACACCAATCACTACTCATTATGCATGTTCCAAACAATTCATTAGCTCGTCTACGCTCCTTCAAGATTAAAGGCGCATCACATCACTTTTATACAATCTCTCTGATCATGTTTGTCTCTTGTTTCAGTGCACTGCCAAGGCGAGTCTTTAATAGCCAAAAAGAAATGTGCTAGCTAATTTAAACATACTTGCAAACCTGCAAAGAGCTTTAGCAGCCATTTATCATGCTGGAGGGTTCAGGTCTGCAAGGACCGAGCAAGGTGGGAAAAGGCTTTCATACACTATTTTACATGTAATACTGTGCAATATTCCTGGAAGTAATATTTGATTATAGAAATCTGCCGTAATGACATAATTGACACAAAATATGTATAAAGTAGAACTACACTAAAAATAGTGATGAAAAATAAGTTCAAAATTGCTCAAATTTGGAATATGTATCTTAATTTGAGCCCACTTTCGCTGCCTTAAAACAAGATTTGCCAATGGGACAAGCAAAATGATCTTGTTTTAAAGAGATACAAGAAATCAGAATCAGAATCATTTTTTTCAGAATCAGAATCATTTTTATTGCCAACGTAAGTAACGGGAGGTCACAGACTTGGAAATTGCTTTGGCTCAGTGCAACAGTCAAAAAGAGATAATAAAAATAAGAATAAAAAACACTTCTAAAGAATAAATTTAAATTTAAAATAGAGTTACAGTTACTATTTACAATATACAAGTGCACATGGTGCACACAATGTAAGGTGACAGCAGTACAGTGAAGTAAAGTGACGTATGATGGGCAGTAAAGTGACTTTATAAAGGGCGGGGGGACAGGTTAAGAAGTGTTCAAGAGTCCAACAGCAGAGGGGAAGAAACTGTTCTTGTGGCGGGAGGTTCTAGTCCTGATGGACCGCAGCCTCCTGCCTGAGGGGAGTGGTTGGAATAGTCCATGTGCAGGGTGAGAGGGGTCGGCTGTGATACGACCAGCCCGGCCTCGAGCTCGGGCGACGTACAGGTCCTGCAGCGATGGAAGGCTGCGGCCGATCACTTCCTCTGCAGAGCGCACAATGCGCTGTAGACTCTGTTTGTCCCTGACTGTGGCTCCAGCGAACCACACGGTGATGGAGGAGGTGAGGATGGACTCGATGATGGCCGTGTAGAACTGCACCAACATCTGTGCAGGCAGCTTGGCTTTCCTGAGCTGCCGCAGGAAGTACATCCTCTGCTGGGCCTTCTTGATGAGGGAGCTGATGGTCGGCTCCCACTTGAGGTCCTGGGTGATGGTGGTGCCCAGGAAACGGAAGGACTCCACAGAGGTGATGGGGGAGTCCATCACGGAGGGTGGGGGCGGGGGGACAGTGCTCTTCCTGAAGTCCACAATCATCTCCACTGTCTTCTGGGCGTTCAGCTCCAGGTTGTTACCACTGCACCAGGACACCAGCCGGTCCACCTCCCTCCTGTAGGCGGACTCATCGTTGTTGGAGATGAGTCCAATGAGGGTGGTGTCGTCCGCGAACTTGATCAGCTTCACGGAGTCGTGGCTGGAGGTGCAGTGGTTGGTGTACAGGGAGAAGAGCAGGGGAGAAAGAACACAGCCCTGTGGGGCTCCTGTATTTATAATCCGAGAGTCCGAGACATGTCTCCCTTGGAATGAGAAAAAATGCACCAGTTCTTGAAACAAGACTTTGTCCCATTGGCAAATTATGTTTCAAGGCAGTTAGTTGCCTTGATTTTGGCAATTATTACCACATATTTTATCATTTTTTTGCAGCTTGTCGTAATTGTTCAAAACAATTAATTAGTTCCATCCATCCATTCATTTTCTTCCCCTTAATCCATTTCTGGGTCGGGGGTATGTCAGTCAGAGCTGCACCCAGTCATAGAGCACCAGCCCCTCACTGATCCTCCTGCAGGTGGTGAGTCCACAGGAGCTGAGATCTTTCAGTGGGAGCTTCAGGCAAAGTGGGGTTAAGTGTCTTGCCCAAGGACACAACGACAGCAGTCATCAGTGGGAGTCGTGAAGTAGGTCTAATGGTGGGCTCGAACCTACGACCTTCAGGCTCAAAGGCCAATGCTCTACCAACTGAACCACTGTCAACCCCAATTAATTAGTTGATAAAGGTTAAATGGAACGGTCTGTCTCTCAATACTTAATGTATAATCAAAAAGATATATCACAAATATAATATCACAAAGACTCATGGGATATTCCCGCAGTTTTTACCAAGCTATGTATGTACGGGTCTGTACTATTCAAAACAAAGTCACAGCAGCGTGTAAGAAAAGTAAAGGTGAGTGCCAAAACAACATAATGAGTCAATGATTTGACTGAAATCCTACGGAGAAAAGATGAAGACCCTGGGCCCCAGTGCGAGCAGTTTATCTGTGATCATTAGAGCCAGTCCCACAGAGAAGGCTCTGATCCACTGAACCTGTGGCTTTGCTCCTGCCATGTCTCCCACACATGCTACTAAATGTGTGCTACTATTATTCAATGTCGCTATTATTTGAGGAACACATGAGTAATATTTGAATGCTCTGTACTGTATTTAATGATATTCAAATGTCTGCAAATAATCACAAATCATGACATTTCAAACGTGTTCATCTGATTAAAGCTGCACTAACTGACTTTATTTTTGTATTAATTACGAAAATGCTATCCATGTCCATGCAGTGCATTGGGATATTCGTCCTTTTGAAGAAAAAGTAGCGCAGATTTGTGCTGGCGTGACATTATATTTTAGATCGAGTTTTGATGAAACAAGGAAGAGAATATGTTTCGGGTCGCAGATTGTGACCAATCACAGCGCACCACTAGCCCCCACTTTCGTAAGAAATCTACAGGTCCGTTAGCACAGACAGCTGAGTTAGCACAACAAGTGGCTGAGCTAACCTGAAGCTTCGTGTGTCTTCGTCACCGGTTACTGCTTACACAGCGAAACAGCCATCCAAAAGAAAGTCTCGTTCCTCCGCGCTTCCCGTTTCTATCGTTCTATGGTCACGCCATCCACGTGAAAATCCATATCCATGGTTTATCCATATTGGGAGACACTAGCTCTGTCTCAACACTGTGTGTGTGTGGGGGGCGATAACTTCGTGGGTGCGGGGAGGGGAGCAGAAAGAGCGAGGCCAGCGGGTCCGCGGCTTCATACATATATACAATACATAAGTAACTCAGCGCGGATGTTCAGAATTCTTTGTTCAGTTTTCATGTAGTTTCAGAGCCTAATAGAGGCTTGATTCGGAGGCTCCGCGAAAACAAACAACTGAGCATGCGCGCAGCTGCGAGCATCAGCGCCGATGATTGACAGCCCTTGGCATGACTCGATTGGTTAACCTCGACGGCACCGTGGATTCTGAACCATAGCTAAGCTAAGGGAAGGCGGGACTTACCCGTAATATTAGAATTAATAAAATTACTTATTTCATATCAATATTTAAGGCCAGGAGGTCAATTTAACACATTTCCTAAAATTTTTAATTCATTCAGAGTTACAGACTATCACTTTAAATATTGATATAAAATAAGTCATTTTATGACATCTAATATTACGGGTAAGTCCCGCCTTCCCTGCTCTTAGCTATAGCTCAAAATCCACGATGCCTTCCACTTTAATCAATCGAGTCATGCCAAGGGCTGTCAATCATCGGCGCTGATGCTCGTAGCTGCGCGCATGCTCAGTTGATTGTTTTTGCGGAACCTCCGAATCAAGCCTCTATTAGGCTCTGGAACTACATGAAAACTGAACGAAGAATTCTGAACATCCGCGCTGACTGAGTTACCCATTTATATACTGAACCTATATCCATAATCAGATCCTCTGCAGATGAGTTCTATAATGTTCAATCAACGTTAATAGCTACTTCCGGGTTTACCGGGATTGCTTTTTTCGTGCATTAAAACATTATTTTTGTCATGAAAACGTAAACAAATAATTCTGAAAACCTCCGTGCATGTCTATTAATAATGTTTATGTATGATGTGTTCTCAGATTAACATTTAAATGTGTTACGGAAACGGCGTAGACCAATCAGAAAGGAAGGGGGAGGGAGCTTTGGGTCGTTTTTTTCAAATCCTGTACCTCTCTCTCTTTTTTCGGACAAACTCCAGACAATCACTTTAATTTGTCGAGCGCCTTTCCTACACAAGGCAACACAAAGCGCCTCACAACCCATATCACATCATAAACATTCAAATCAACATGAACAATAAAAGATACAATTAAAAACAAACATTAAGATCACAAGAAATATTAAAAACATAGATAACGTAATTTTCTTTTCTCATTTGTTATTTTCTATTTTGGTCAATTCCACAATTTATAAATTATTATTATGAAGCATTTTTTCACCCTCTGTAAAGTTGAAAACTATATTCAAACCGGGAAATAATAAGTATTTCCTGTCTATGAAGTTATTTCACATCTGCACAAAAATGATTGATCCAGGAAACTTCCCACAATACTTTACAGAACACATTTATATGCAATCGCTCGAAAAAATAAAAATACAAAAGTAGTTGCAACATTCAAATATAAAATGTTGAGCGTAAAAAAGTAAAAGATTGGAGTTGCAGAGTTGTGCTGGAGTATTTTACTGGGAGCTGACAGTTTTATTGAACATTGAGCGGTGGCAGCTACAGACAGCGGGATCAGTGGTGCTGGCGCGCGGTGCTGGCAGCGAGAGGCTGGGCTTAAAGCGCGTGTCACCCTGAGGAGCGCTGCGCTTGATTGCACTGGGATTGATCAGTAGTTGATGCTCACAAGTGCGTTTGATTTGACGTCTCTGCTGCACAGTCTCCTCTGCATTCAGATTGCAGTCCTTCCTCGACCTGATCACTCTTGTTTTTCTTGTCAACGTTGAGATGACACTGATAATTGACAGGCGTTTGGTGGATGACAACATTTTAAGACGGTTTGATCTTCAGGATTAAATTAGTGGCTTCTCGAGTTGTAAAATCATTAGAAATATTTCATCCCATTAAATTATTCAGCAAGACTTTTTCAATTAGCACGCAGAGTGGTAAGACAAAACGCTTTTGTTCCTGCTTTAGATTTAGTCTGTTGAGCAATTTAAAGGTGTGGACTCACTACACATTTAGTACATGGGAAATGCACAGTGTGTAAGTATGTTGTGTTCAAAAAATGTGTGTAAAACTTTTTTATAACAAATACCCAATAAATTGTTCTGTTTCCAAATAAATATATTCTGGTGCATTCACAAATTCATATTTGAACCTATACACTTATACATGGTCTCACGTAATATCACTGGAACCTTCTCTGTCCGGCACTAGACCAGTGGAGTGTATTGGTCTGAAGTGCAGTGACCGCTCTCCCCACTAAAGTGGCAGTGCTATTACATTTACAGTCTACTGTAAATGTTGTGTAGTCCACTCTGAGGCAGTGGGTGTGAGTTACATAGGGTTAATTTCCAACAGGAGTGTGAGCGGGAGCTGGTGATCATCCACTGTGGAACAACAGTATTTTGGCTTGAGACTGGACTCCCTGGTGACCCCGCTGAAATGGAAGTGTGCTGCAGGTCAGAGTAGGGCTGTAATTATTTCCTCACTTCATTAAGTGCGAGTAAACCATCACACTCAGCACTGCAGCTAATGCCGCGCCCCTGTGGCATTGTAATGCTCTCTAAATGAAGGCCCCTCTGACAGCCCGGGGCCTAGTGGGCAGCAGATTACTGCAGGGTGAGCCCCAACAATGCCCAAGTCTCAAACTGCATAGCCTTCATTATCGTGCCGATATAACCTTACGCTCTTCACTGCTCCTGTCACAAATGAAGGCCTGAGGCCCGTCACAATCCACTAACGCCTAGTTTGGTTTGGGTTCCACATCTGTGAATCATAAATGAAATGTAAATGCAACCTGAAAGCGCCCATCTTAGACAGATAATGTGCTTCTAATATTTCTAACTATTTGCTCATTAGGTCAGTGTGGCTCTGTGAGGCGGCAGGATTTGAAGGTTTAGCACTCTGAGGTTTCCCTGAAATGTAAAGTGCATTATAAATAAAATCTATTATTATTATTATTATTCTGAACTGAGCTGCACTTAACTTCCCTCGTGTCTTGTGTCTGTGGTGTTTTTCCAGGAGAGGCGACGGTGGAGGAGACTTATGACAGGATGTTTACCGTCAGCAGTCGCGTGAGGTTTTCTGTCACCAAAGACGATGATGGAGTGCCAGTGGACTGCATCATTGACCACCCAGCTGTAAAGGACCTCCTGGCTCAAAGACACTTGGAAGTGCTATGTAAGTGACCGAGAGATACACACGCTCTAAAGAACTGCATGCACTGCCAGGCCAACAGTAACTAAACTGGCTCTTCTTTGGAGGATATGACTTGGCATTTTATAATACAGTCTTGACCCAAGAGAAGGAGAAAAAAACACTTTGAATTCATTTGACTTTTGGAATCAGCACCAAAACACTATTTTTAGCTTGAGCGCACTGTCAATCACTGAGCATAATGCTGCCTGTGGGCACAAACCTGTCCTTCCCTAACCTTGCTACTTAATAAGAACTTGGTGAACAAGAAACGGAAGAGAGAAGTACACATGTATGACTTTACGTGATGCCTTTGTGTGGTTCAAGATAAACAATTGCAGTTGAATAGAGCTGCTGGTCACCATTTGGAGGTCCTTTAGGGAAAACACATTCTAATGTGAACTAAAATCTCAGAGAATACTTCTTATGAAGCTGCCTATTGGATTGGAAAGAAATGATAATCATCCTTTGTTTGGGCGTCCAGAAAAATAAAGGTGTTATTTTAATAGTGAAGTGATTGCAAAGGGTAATTCTGGCTGCCTTACACTGTTCAACATCAAGGAAAGGTTAACATACCCTTTTATTGGCTGTATGGAATATTAATTTATTTCAGATAGACAACTGTTTTGTGTGACCTTTCAAAGAAAAAAGGAAAAAGCTTGACTGGAGCCGCTTGACATTTCGGTAATCTTTGGTGAGCATTGATAAGCAGGAAAAATCGTTTTTGCTGTAAGCTACTGTAGGCCGACTGTAGACCTGGTATGACTTCTGAACACATGGAAAAATCACCTCATCCACCGTAACGTTTTCCTTTGGGCTATTTGACTTCATATTCAAATTCTCCTCCGCGACGTGATTCATTATGTGCCTGCACTGTACTCTTTAGCTGCGGGTGCAAAGGAGAGGTGCAGTGTTATAACATGGGCCACTGGTGCATTGTGTGTTCCTTTGCAGATAAACCCGAAGTGAAGATTGTGGTGACATATCCTGAAGGCCTGACACGAGAGGGAGACAACTTAGATTTGACGTGCATCGCAGAGGGAAAACCACAGTGAGTAGATTGAGTATTTTTTTCTAATTCTGAGGTATTTCAGCATTGTGCCGTAAATTTCGACAAAAAAATTAAATACATTTGATTTTAGATTTGTTGTATTTTTATGTTTTCAAACCACACACAATTAACTATGTTTTTATTTAACTATTTATTGATGTCATTTATTTAATCATTAATTCAGACACATAGAGTCCGTATAATACAAAAAATATATTTATTAACTTTGTAAAGATAATATGTAGTATTATCTAAGTCACTTCGTTCTTGCTCTCATAATGGTTCAATAGTTTCACATGCATGTATTGTAGCCTTGTCACATCTTTAGATCAGCTTACTTAAAAAAAAAAAAAACACTCTCTCCCAGCCAATCAGCTCTCAGTGTGTTATTACTGAGATATAATGTTCTGTAATAATATAAATACAGCATGTTTTGGTGTGATTTGTTCACAAAATGATTCCTCTTTGCACATATAAAATGTATTTACGAAACAAAAACAAGTTCTGCAGCGAGATTTTTTTTATATATATACAATCAGGCAACTTGAATTCTTTATTGGCATAAGTAAAAAGGTTTTTCAAAAAGTCATGCCACTTTAAACCACAAGCTAAAACTGAACTTCCAGGAGCTTGAAAGCATGCTGTAACGGTTCTGCCTATACTCATTTACAAACTTGATGTGATTTCTGCAATCAAGACCCTGCAAAGCTCTAACGATCTCCTCTTTTTAAAACGACGACTTCTCCAATCACCTCTTCCTCTGTTGTCCCCAGTCCTCATCAGATAAACTGGCTGAGAGTGGATGAAGACGTGCCGCCTCACGCTGTCGTCACGGGCTCAGACTTGTACATCGAGAACCTGAACAAGTCTTACAACGGGACGTACCGCTGCGTGGCCTCCAACACTGTGGGGGAGGCCTTCGACGACTACATCCTCTACGTCTATGGTATGACCTTTTCTCCTCATTTGTTTGTGAGATACATCAGATTATGTTGCATTAATGTGGCTTTTGTCATGACATATACTGTATATGTTAGCAGTTATACAGTCAAAAATGACAGAAGCTTGCTACACTTAGATAATCTGTACATCTTAACAAACATGTTGTGGATAAAGTGTTTTTGGCTCTGTTTAAATGGCAGGAAGTGGATTTACAAAGGAAATATTAAAACAATACCAATGTAGGAGAAGCAAATTCCCTTTTTGAACAGATAAGATAAACTTTAGTGATCTCACAATGAAGACATTTTCATCTCACATTTGGCATAAATAAGATCACTCAAAAGTGTGCAACAGACAGGAAATGTGCAAAAATGTTAAAAAGTGAAAGATTTATCATCAGATATAGACCATTGTTTTCAAAATATCAGAGATCAGAGTTGTGTTACTTTGTGTCATGAATATAGGATATCCAAAGATCACATATGAAGGTTAAGATATATTTACAGTATTGTATCATATTTAGATTACTTATGTTGTAGATTAATTTCAGGCTATGAGAAAAAATAAATCATACGCTTATTTGGTGTTTGTTAATTTGCCTTCAGTTTCTTCTTTAGAACAACTTGACACCAGTACAAAAGAATAATGCAAGTTCAATGCTTAAACTTCAGAAATGTAAGGTGTTAATGTTTGGTGTATGTCCCTTTGTACTTCTTTCAGTTGTGTTGTGCACATTTTGTACATGCAGTGCTGTCCTCACAGCCTTCTCTTTTGGCCATGAGGCTTTATCAAAAGCTCTATTAGTCCTCTCATGTGTGACTGGCTGTAGATGTGTTCATGAAAAGTGTGCTGAATTTGAATAGAGTTGTACTAAAGGCCAGGCGTGGGTCATCTCTCCAAGGACAGTAAATGCCACGGACTTTTTTATACCCTCTCACTTATTCTCAGTCAATACAGACAGCATTTGCACTACTAGGGCACAGCTCAACTAAAAATACCTAATATCAAAACTGATCAAAACTAGATTGGAAAAATAATCAAAATAGAGTCTTGTGAAAAGAAAATGTGAGGAACAAGGTCATTGACAACAAACTTATTTGGCAATCTGTAAAGTTTGCACAAACAGCTCTTGTGTTTAAAGCCATCCTTGAGCTCCGGAGGGGGGACAGCAGGAGGGACGTGTTTGAAGTGTCCAGAATCAGGCACTGCAACATTTACAACCACGTAACGTAACGCTGCTACACACAGCCTGGACCTTAATCTCCCATTTTCCCTTTGGTTTGTGATTTGAAAGAGGCACAGCTGCAGTTTTTGGTAAGTTTAGCCAGCTCTGCCAGTAGCAGCTGCACCGTGCTGATCAGAGAAAGGTTTCGCATTTTGACTTTTATGATAAAAATGTAAATTGTTACAACCTCTTGAGACACACATTACCAGCTGAGGTATGCAATAGGAAATGAATCACCTTTAAGTTGTGCCTTTTCTTCAGTTATTAAATATTTAACAAAATATTGACACACCCACAATTTGAAAGAGATGTGCTTTTCTTCCACACTGCAGCACAAATGAAATACACTAAATCATCCATCCATTTTCTTCCCCTTAATCCATTTCTGGGTCGGGGGGGTGGCAGTCAGAGCTGCACCCAGTCACAGAGCACCAGCCCCTCACTGGCCTTCCTGCAGTTGGTGAGTCCACAGGAGCCGAGATTTTTCAGCGGGGGCTTCAGGCAAAGTGGAGTTAAGTGTCTTGCCCAAGGACACAACGACAGCAGTCATCAGTGGGAGTCATGAAGTAGGTCTTATGGTGGGCTCGAACCCACGACCTTCAGGCCTAAAGGCCAATGCTCTACCAACTGAGCTACTCTAAATCAAATTGTTGCAAATACATAGTACACAATAAATTGTCATTAGTAGACCATACTACTTTTTTTTTCACAATTTAATTAGCATTAACTACCATTAGAAGTTTACACTTTAAATCTGTAATGAAATGTAACTTTTCATGAATTAAAGTTAGCTCTAAAACGGCCCATGGCTCATGAATACTCTCAATTGATGGTATCTGGGTTGTGTACCTGATTGTAACACCACTCATGTGACTATTTTTTTTTTTTAACACAGATCCCTGGTAAAAAAAACAAAAACACACATCCTAGACTAGATGTGATTGAGTAGAATCATCCTGGAATAAAGTCAGTACTTTGTAGTCCTGATGGCTGTGAGCACCTTTGTTCATTTGCGTGTGTATTGTTGTCTAGAGTGTGGACAGCACTATCCTCCTTGGTCCAGCCAAATTGTTCTTATCCATGCATTCGTATTTCAGGAAGTGATTTAGCTGCTCTGGGCATGTGCAGGATTCAAACTTTGAGAAGTATTTTTTGTTCAATTACTTACTTAATACTTATTTTCTTATGTTGAACATTTAATAAAAACAAAGCAAGGGTTGCTTAAACTTATTCCCTAAAGTTAGAATTGTATTTTAAGGAGCCCTCGCAGTTCTTGTTTTTGTCCATATTCTTTATGATGTGGTTTTATTGTAAACAAGTATTTTGTTTTGGCAGTCGCATTTACGGACAATGAAGCCTCTTCTTGGCAGTGTGGAATTATATGGCTCTAAAAGCTTAAACTTTACCAAAACAGCATGATCAAACCTTTTTATAAAAATGGGCTTTGTGACAAATGTTTGTGATTGACAGTGTTGTTTCAAATTATCACTCAATAAGCGTGTTTATTTTGTGTTTGACAACCATGAACTCCATGTCAAAAACATCATTTTAGCATTTTGTCTGACTGATAAACAAATGTTAATGACAGCTGTTGTGAAATACACATTTTAGAAAATAAATGCATTTGTATCGCTCGTGTCATCCATGCTATTTCAGCAATTGCAGTGCAGACATTGAATGGGATTTTAATGGAGGCACAAGGTCTTGGTCACAGGCAGAAAATGTGGAGAAGACAAACAAGTGTGTTTGGATGCAGCTTTTTAACAAGGTAACCAGGGACTGAATACTTGACACATTGAAATTTCAGATTTATGGCCAGGTGTCGTTCAGGATCTCATTTCATATCATGGGTAGATTACTGTTATGGAAAGGCTGTAGGAGTATGTCTGTGATGTCATGGTCACGGGTCACAAGTCTCTGCCACGTTAATATCACCCTTTATTAAAAATGTTTTAGTCCATGTAGTTGGTGAAAATGTTCTATCATCTATCCCATGATATTTGTATTCCTCACAAAATGAGACTGCTGTGTGCATTTCGCGTTGAGCTATAAAAGCATTTATTAGAGTATGGGGAAGCATTCTGTTAGCGTTCTAGTTGTTATTTACTGATCATTATGACAAACCGTCCCTCTGGTTTTTGAAAGATCTAAAACGGTTCCTAAATGGCATGGAAAGAAAAGTCAGGTGTACAGTAGGTAGACGTGCAACACATCTGTCTATCACAACTGAAGACGGTGAAATTCATGTTCTGCGTAAAGTGTCCAAATGCGCTGCAAAAAAGTTACGAATAAAGGAAAAAAAAGAAGAAAATGGCTCAAACAAGATTTGCCAACGGGAAAAGCAAATTATCTCGTTTAAAACAGATACAAGAAATGTCTCTCTGGGAACGAGAAAATGAAGCAACAGTTCTTGAAATAAGAGTAAATGGCTTTGTCCCATTGGCAAATCTTGTTTTTAGACAGTAAGAATGAACTCCAATTAAGATAAAAAAAACACTATATTCAAGCAATTATTATTATTATTATTTGGTATGTTTTTGCTGTTAGGCAGTGTGTGTTATTATAAAGTCTGCAAAAAACTGTAGTCTATATATTTGAATGTACTGTATAATTAATCTACTGGTCTAATTTCATGTCTTGACTGCGTTATTGTATAGTCTGACAATGCAGAGAGAGTTCTTTAGAATTAACTTCTCTCTTTTAATGTATTTTATTGTCATTTTTTATTATGTTTTTATCTTTTAACTCTATCCTATGTTTGTATGATTGCGAGCAAGGGACCAATGCACAATTTCCTTTTGGATCAATGAAGTATATACTGTATATATATCTATCTATCTATCTATATCCATCGCACTGCTCGGTAATAGGCGGTACATTGTCACTGATCTGAAATCTCTGAGTGACTGGAGAAGCGACAGAGCTTGTTGTCATGAGCACATGTAGAACAGCTGCATGGTCTGGTCTCACCTCACAGACCCGTCTAAACCCATTAAAATCTTTGAAGGTTGAACTGAGGTTAATTCGATTCTCAGATTCCACAATACACCTTGGCTTTGTCCAGACAGCCCCCGAGACTCTATTACGTGCACCTGCCCATAGGCTTCAGTGATATGAAAAAACCATGATTTATAGTGTACATAATGTCCATTTCACTTCACCCTGCCTGCGTCTGAGACTTGTCATAGTGGTTGTGTTTGTCCCCCCTCCTCCCTGTTGTCCTGTAATCACATTCCCAAACACAGGCAACCAAAATAGCTCGCACAATCAGCATTTTTTTCCAGCTGATGTTTTGATTCAAGCTTGGATTATATTTGGCACCCTTTTAAATAATTATTTCTTGATGAAAATGTTATCACTGAATCGCCTCTGGTTATTTTATCATGACTATTCATGCGCTCATTTTTAATTCATTATTTTTCTTTCAAACGACAGGACGAATTTCAATCAATAGTGACCCCACATGCGGTGAAACTCAGAAAATCAGAATATCATTCAAAAGTTTTTTTCCCGCAATTCACCTTAAATTGTGAAACTAATACATCAGGGGTCTCCAAGTAGTTCCCCAAAGGATTTAGAATTTAACAAATGATTTTAAATGAATACATTGAGTCGTTACATATCTATTATGAGTATCAATATAGGGTTTTACAGTATTATGGTATATTTATGTGTTCTCTATCGGATTATTACATCTATTTTTTTAATCACAACTGCAAAAATGAGTAGCACCCTGCCTCTTTTGTTGCACTGCGATTGAAAAAGGTTGGAGATTATATAGATTCAATGCTTGCAAAGTGGCATATGTCAATTCTTTGTTTTGTAATAATTTAGCTGGTTATGGCTTTTTACAGTTCATTTAGATATTTTCATTCAAGTTTTTTTTCAAGCTGTTAGCCACATTAGATTAGCTCGACGCAGTGAGTTCTGGCAACCCGGATCACAGACTTTCTGATTGGTAAAACGGTGGAGGGCGGGACATCGAAATGAAAACAATAACAATATTTAGGGGCTGTAAAAGTACATTTTGAAAATATATCTCGGCTGAAGTATTGGAAAATAGCATGGTTAATTAATGCCTTTTGACAGATTAGGGCCATTTAATTTAACTTCACATGAAAATCTTACATATTGCTACTACTATGGAATTCTGAGCGATATTGTAATTTTCCGAGTTTCACCTATACATATTTCAGCCCATTCTTCATTCAACAATTAACACCATACCTCCTCAGTTGTTTGTAATACTCATATGACTTACCTTCACCATAATGAGACGCAGGGGGTGGTAAAAGGTGCCTATAACTGCAAATAATCATGTCTCCAACTCCCACTCCTCTTTTCTGGAGGATTTAATGTCAGACAAAATCCCATTGTGGCTCATATGAGGTTTGGTTGTCCCAGACTAATCATGTGTGCTATGTGGGCTTAATTAGTGTGTTTGTGCTTGTAGATAGCTGTTAGCGTGTTAATTGTGGGCTATTTTTATGTTGCTCTACAAAGCATCCCAACATCTGGTCCCGCCCACTCACGCCAGCTTTTAATATGATTCACATTTTAACTCTCCACCTAAATCATGTAGTGTTTAACGGGCCGTGTTTAGGAGTTAGTTTGTTTGTCCGGGGATTTAAAATAATTGCTTGTGTGGGTTTTGGCAGGATAACCGATGCTTTGTAATTTATGAGCTTAATGGATAACGATTGTGGTTCAAAGATCATCCACCAAAATCACATCCTTTTTATTTACCAAAGTTTTTATTCCTTTAAAATTGAACTGCACGTAGAATGTATTTAGGCTCCAAAAATTAGATTGGTTTTGTATTGTTTTCAGTTCAGTCTTAAGTCTAGGAAACAGCAGCTACTCATATTGTAAATATTGTGTGCTTCCTGTGTGCTCTTTCTACTGTCCTGTATGTGCACTGCAACATTGAAATTTCCCCACTGTGGGAAAAATAAATCTCTTATCTTATTGTGGGGGGACACGAAAAATGCCGTCTGGGATTCCCACCCAGGACCTTCATTCTGAGAAGAGAGATTGCAAATACATTAGAATAATAATTATGTTTTACTAGAAAGTAAATGGTCATGGCCAATTCTTATATCCTCAAAGATAAATGGCAAAAGTCTGTGAACTTTGCTCTCTTCCTTTCGAGCACAGACTGATGACCTTTCCTGGCCTCGACCAGTATTGACTGCGTAAATCCCTGCGTACAGCTCCTTTATTCAGCAGACTGGACTGGACTAAGGACAGACGGGGAGAATTGTACCCCCCAGCTCCTGTCTGCAGCGGGACAGCTCGCCTCATGTTATAACTCAAACTCCAGCCCTTGGCAGGACTGATGCACTCCCCTCTCCCATTCTAACTCACGTTGGCATTTGGACCAGTAAATCTAATGGACAAAATGGCACTGGATTTACAAACCAGCTCACACATTATATTTCACACAATTTATATACAATGTGGGGGAAAACGACTGAGCAGCGAGATGAATATGCATATTTATTTTATTTATTTAAGTAGGGACAGTACATATTAATGAACATATAAAATATGTAAATATGTCAGATTTTAGCCATAGGCTAATTTCCATCTGTTGTCCCTAGACAGGCTGATGTGAAACTTCACATTGAACATTTAACAATAACACAAAAGAAAGTCACAAGACAGTACAGGAACAGAACGACTGCAGGACAAGGAACAATGGGACCACAAGATACACATTCAAATATACTGTACAAAGAACATTAGGGATACATACACATCCAGCCTGTCCAGTCCTGGCTCAATGGAGATGTTATGGATTGTTGTGTATTTAACAGTATTGTATTGAACTAATCCATCTTTGAGACTTGTAAAGAGAAAACGTAACTCATTGTAATGTTGCATGTTTTAACACAGTTTTTAGC